TAAGCTAATAATGAGACCAAATGAGGGTAATTATGACTAGGATGACTTCAAGGTGATGCTTAGTGTGGATGCTATTATGGGATGCCTTTCATGCATTGCACAAGCATGCTTTGAGGCTACCTAGGAGTATAGTGCTCTTATGATATGAAAGCCAAGACTTGACCATATATATATATAAACTATGCTTAAGATGACCAAAAAGAGATACTTAGCTTAGGTGGTATTATGGGATGCTATTCATTCATTGCGCAAGTATGCTTTTAGGTTACTTGAGAGTAGTTCTATTATAGTATAGATGACTAAGAGTTGAATAATGCTTATATGATGCTTATGTTGGAGACTTTGCTTATTATTATGATATTGTCTCTTATGCTTATAGTTTATGTTTCAGGAAGTATATCATATGATTTTGGATTATGTCTTATATTGACTAACCTTTATCTCATGCTCTTATGGTGTTATGCTAGCTAACATATTTAGTACATTTTGTACTAACGCATACTTTGCCTACATTCTAATCAAATGTAGGGTTTCGGAGATTCAGTTCCATTCATGAAGCTAAGTTTCTAAGGAGCAAAGGAGTTGAAGATTTGGTAAGTCCTCATAGCTTCGAGGACAAACCCACTATTTCCTTTATTTTTTTTATTTTCATGCTTTGAGACTATTGTATGAGTTGTGTCCCAAGAGTTTTATTCAAGTTGTATTAGATGGTTTGAGACAAAGTTTAGAAAAGACTTCCGCTTGCTTTTATAAAAGACTTCGATTATATGGTTAAAGTTTTTTAAATTTCCGTACTTTTCTATTCTCGTATGTTATGATATGCTAAGGGCATGTATGAGACCTCTTCGGGGTCAAGTACGTCATGTTACATCTAGGGTGTACCCCTGGGTCGTGACATTGACGTTGAGGTATTTGGGGGCTGAAAGGTGAATGACTAATAGTTTTATATCAATTCAAATAGTTGAAGGGATTTTATTTAGACCTTTCTTCATTTAAAATGTACTCCATCTATCTTGTTTTAGTTATCATGTTGCGCTTTTTGAGAGTCAATTTGACTAACTTTTAAAGCTAAATCAGATTATAATAATTTGAAATTATAAAATAAAAATTTGATGTTTAAAAACTATATGAAAAGTACAAAAAGTTGCAATTTTTTCACATCAATTTGATAAAAAATACATCTTAAACTGTTAATCAAAGTTGATATTGTTTATGACAACTTAAATACGAGAGGGAGTATAAGTTCTTTCTACAAATATCACACCTATAAGTTCTTTGACAATATAATTCTTGAGGAGTCCTCAATGAGGGCACACTTTTTCCAAGAAGCAAATGTTGCGGCTATTTTCTAGGCCATCCTCTAAACTTGTTCATACTCTACTAAAACCCAACTCCAATCACCCCCATCACAACTACCACAAATCTAATCTTCAACTACAAGACACATTTTTACCTTTGCTTAAAAAATGTTCCAACGAAAATCACATTTATCAAACTCATGGCTTCATGGTACATCGTGCTTTAGATCAAGACAACTTTATTCTCAGCCAATTCTTCCACACATGTTCGGCCCTTGGCTTTGTCAGCTATGCATATTCAATTGTCACTTCAAACCCAAATCCAAACATATATCTTTACAATACTTTGATCAGTATTTTCTCAAGACAACGACATTTATCTATGGATGCAATTTGCCTTTATAAACAAGCTCGAGCCATTGGCTTATATCATGATACTTACTCTATCCCTTTTGTGTTGAATGCTGTAACTTGTCTCACCACCTCTAGGCAAATTCACTGTGAAGCTATTTTAACTGGATTGAACAATGATGTACATGTAGCAACGTCCCTTGTACGGATGTATTCTTCTTTTGGGTGCATTTCTGATGCACGTAAGGTGTTTGATGAAATGCGTAACAAAGATGTGGGCTTGTGGAATGCCATGATAGCGGGTTATGTTAAGGCTCATGATATGGACACCGCCAAGTACCTGTTTGATAATATGCTGGAGAAGAATGTGGTTTCTTGGACTACCATCATTGCGGGCTACGCTCAGGGGAATCAGTTTTCTCAGGCTATAGGTGTGTTCAGGAAAATGATGAGTGTGGAGGTTAGTGCTAAGCCTGATGAAGTAACCATGTTAGCTGCACTTTCAGCTTGTGCCCACTTGGGTGAGCATGAGTTGGGTGAATGGATCCATAGTTATATTATAAAACACAGGTTACATAGAAGTGTGTCTCTTAACAATACACTTATTGATATGTATGCAAAATCGGGCAATGTAAAGAAGGCAGTAGAACTGTTTGAGAGCATGGAAACAAGGAGTGTTGTTACATGGTCAACAGTGATTTCTGCATTGGCTGTCAATGGATATGGAAGAGAAGCAATTAACATGTTTCCACGACTGGAAATGGTTGGAATTAGGCCAAACAGTGTCACCTTTATAGCACTACTATCTGCATGTAGCCACGCTGGACTCGTGGAGGAAGGCAGATTATATTTTAAGACAATGGAAGAAAAACATGGTATTAGTCCTGACATCAGACACTATGGTTGCATGGTTGATCTTTTTGGGCGTGCCGGTTACCTCGACGAGGCTGCAAATATGGTTAAAATGATGCCGTTTGAAGCAAATGCAGCGATTTGGGGATCTCTTCTTGCTGCAGCCAGGAACCAAGGTCATGTTGAACTTGGGGAGCAAGCTCTGCAGCATCTAACTGAAGTCGAACCACATAATAGTGGGAATTATTCCCTTGTGTCCAATACATATGCTGCTCTTGGTAGGTGGAGTGAAGCTAGGGTAGCAAGAAAGATCATGAAGGACACAGGAGTCCAAAAGTTGCCAGGCGGTAGCTTCATCAAAATGAAAGATAAAGTTTATTATTTCTATTCAGGAGACAGATCACATCCTCAATGTGAGAGAATATACAGAGTTCTATCACACTTAAACAGGGTGTCAAAGACGGCACTGCATGAATATTGGGGATATGTAGAGCTGCTTGATGCTGATAGCCCTCAAGAGGACCACTTATAAGACAAGAGGTAGGATTTTGCATAACTTGACTGATTGTTTCAAGGATCTTAAGCTTCAGAAAATAACTCAACTAATGTTGAGCAGTTTAAGTTTACCTGCATGTGAAGTAAGTAGGACTTAAAAATAGCACAGTTTAAGATTCTTCATAGCACTTGACATTACAAAAAACAGGATGTATTATGTAAATCAGATTAATACCTTTATTCTTGCTTCTTCTGTTCTGAGCCCCCACTTCAAATCTTCTATTGGTGACTGGTACCTAATTGACCAAGTTAGCTAGGTTCACTAAGTTAGTGACAAATCATGCTACAAATTTTTTTTTGAATTAAGTTCCAACTGGTTGTTGAATTTCTTGGTTTACAGTGGCAGGAAGTATTTCCCAATACATTTTGTGAGCTCTCAAAGTGAATATTCCTTCTAAATCCAGTGAAGATGTTGTCCATGGGTCTTCCTTTTTTGGTTTTCTTCCTCTTAGTGCTCTAGTTATCATTTTTTATTAAAATGATACATAAACTACATTGCAATTTTCTGGCAAAAGTTCAAATTTCCCCCCTAAATATTGACTTCCTACCAAATACTCTAGCCATTATTCCTTTGTATTGTATTTGCACCATTTCTCCAGCTTAGCAGATGGATCCTCATTGCTTTTCACCACTATCCACTTCCACTGATACATGTAATTTTAAGAGCCACTTCAGCGGACACAGTTTCTCGAGAGTGAATGATGCCCATCTCTGCTTTCACTGAACAATCTCCCTGAAATGGAAATTACCTTTGACAAATACTCTAGTACAGCACAAAGAACCCCAAGAATATTCATCACTTCAGCATTAATAGTAATCATTATGGATCTTATCCCTCTTTACCACTCTTTTAATTGGTACCCCTCAGATTTAGTAGTCCATCCATCTGAACTAGCACCCACATACCATGTTGAGTAGCAGAAGATAAAGATTACAGACAGCCCAATATATAGCAGAACCCTTAAAGTTTCAACAGAAATCACCATGATTAATGGTGAAATAGAGCCGCATCTTTTCCAGCAGTGAATCAATGGGTTTTCACCGGAAGAATCCATGGAGTTTCGATGGGTCTGGAATGAATATTGAGTTTTTCAATGGTCATATTTGTGTAGTTGCAAATGCAGAAACTGACATCTTGAGATGTCCAGAGAAACCTAGGATTTTGTGAAGATTGGTTTGTAATTTTATTATTGTCAATACTTAGTCGAAATTTCCATTTTACTTTTATGGTTAAAGGTCATAGGAAGAATGATGGAAAAGTGTGATGTTTTTTGTCAATGATAATTCTAATCAAATAATAAGAATGTCGTCTTTCTTGGGAATTAATCAGTTGGAAGCAGTTCGAAGCAGTCTATGGTGCTTTGGAAATTTCCAATGAGAATCTGGTGACAGAAAACAGAACTAACCTCAAGTAAAAATGAAACCTACAATCTAAAAAGTCATTTAGTGCCCGTTTGGATTAACTTATTTTTGGGTGCTTTTGACTTTTAAGTTTTTTTTTTTTTTGGAGGTGTTTCGAAAGACTATAAAGTACATTTAAGCTCCCACTTTTAGGCCAAAAAGCTTTAAAATAAGATCAAAGTCGAAAGTAGGGTACCATCTACATGTGTTGTGAAAGGCAATCGCCTCATCGCCAATGGCGAGAGGTGAGGCGAGGTGAATCTTCATCGCCTATTAGCTTTGTGGCGAGGCGATCTTCAAAAGGCGACGCATGACGACAAAGGCGAGAGGCGATTAAGGCAAAAAAGGGGTCACCTTTTGTATTTTCTTAAAATAAAGTGACCAATTTAGGGTTTTAAAAGTCAAAAGGCAATTTTAAGATTTTCTTTCTAAATTTGCTCAGTTGCACTCATTAGACTACAACTACGGCTCCAACCTCGACTCAACTAGATTTCTCCGGCAACCAGCCGGACTTTTTCAGCCATTCCAAAGTCCAATCAATACATATTTCTTCTTTTCTTCTTCTTCAAATTTCTTCTTCCTTTGTTTCTTTTTCCTTCTTTTTCAGACTTAAGAGTACTTCTACCTTGTTTTTTTCTCTGTGTTTTGACTTCTGTTCTTTTTTTTTTCATTCAAGTTCTAGACTTTTAGTATGTACTATCTATTTTCAATTTTTGAATTGAAATATTGGCTAATTTGTTATTGCTATTGAGATTTGATTATTTATATACACAAATAAATATTTTAAATTTTGGTATTAATTGGCACCACACTTCAAAAAGGCGAGCGCCTCACCAGAACCTTGTTGCCTTTCGCCGTCCATAACACATCTACTTATGACTTTTAACTTTGACTTATAAGTTACTTTTTATAATCCCATCCAAATAGGCCCTTAGTGCACTACAGAAAGGGGTAAAATGCAGCATGCCATATCAGCACACTGTGCTTAATATGCACACATTGACTGAGGCTGAAGTGTCTAATAGGTGAATACTTCAGTTGAGGTGTCTACATGAAAAGAGATGACAACTTTAAGGGGCTGTCTATGTATTTGTCCATTAAAGGAGTGAGCTTCCCATTTTCAACCTTCTCAGTTTTTGGGTATGGTCAGGAACAAGTCATTAGCACTTCTCAGTGACTCAGGTTGAACAAACCAAATGCAGTCCTTGATATGTCTCTTGGCCCAGGCACTATTTTCTAATCTGCAATTCTTGTTACTTTTGCTTAAATTTTTCGTATACACAACTTGCTGATCTCTGTTAATTACTGCTTCTGCACTGTTATAGTTTACCTTAACAGTGCAGAAGCAGTAATTAATTGCATTGCAAGTGGACAGATCAACTATGGAGGATGTTTATATGCCTAAAAGGGATCAGATGGGTGAAACCTGGAAGCGTAGCAGGTGTCCTTAGATGCTGGAACAAGGATGGCATGGTAAGTAAGAAGGACGAGAGATGGAAGATTGTCCCGGCTTGTATTTGGTGGTCAGTCTGGATCGAGAGGAAAAAGAGGTGTTTTGAAGGAGTACAAAGCAGCTTACAGATTCTTAAGATGAATTGCTTAGGCCTATTTTATTTTTGGTGTGAGCAAAAACTATTAGCTCAAACAGAAGATATTTTTGATGTTTTAGACTTTTTGTAAAGATAAGTTGAACCACAAGATGTAAGTTGTAATACTTTTGTTGGGGAACTATACCTGTTGGTGTAGTATACCTGTGGATATATAGAAGTAACGTTACCTTTCTCAAAAAAATAAAATAGTTTACCTTAATTTCATGAAACTCTAGTATGCATTATCTAGTTGGATGCACATAGCTTGTTGTTGAATGCATAATTTAAGGTTAATAGAAGATTTGGTCTACCTTAGGCTAGATTTCTTTTCGAGATTTAGGTGGAATTCATGTAAGGGTCAACGAGTATTGTTTTCCACATGTCCTCACACCTGGTAGTTATGCAGCTCCAGCTTTGATAATATTAGCAAACTAGAACTATCATACAGAATAAGGATGTATACGTTACATCTGGGTAACGAGGAGGGATTTTTGTTCCCAACTTCTAATGGAGGTATAATAAAACAAAAGTAACTAGTTGAGGACCAAATTAGGACTTTTTTCTTTTCTTTTTGGTAGCTTACGACACTTAGAGAATACTAAAACAAAATAGTAAGGTGCATCTCGGACAACATCTTACGTTCTAAAGTGTTGAATTTACTGTTTAACTCATGGGATTAAATATTTGGTACATGTACATATGGTGACCTTTCACCCTGATTTGGAGAGTCATGAGATGGCACTTAAAAGAACCACCACTACACATGTTGAGCCCTTGTTCGGTTGTTCCCTTCCATATGTAATTCCTGCATTATCAACAATTTGAGCTTGGGAATGTGATTATAGCCTCTCACGGTTGCCAAGCAGCCGATTAACATCTTTATCTCTTGGATAAAGTACATCATCACTTGGTACCTAGGTTTTGAAAAAACTCCAAATGTGCATCATGTCTGGCATGTCATAGGCCAGTTGTTTAGAGAGTCAAAGCATAGAAGAAGTCATGCCCAAGACCTAGGCTTGCAAATCCCAATGCGACAAGAGCACTGCTATATAAGATGTGTACTTTTGGTTTCAAAAGACTAAGGAACCCTGTGAAGATGCAATTTAAAATATTCATAAGACAGTGAACATAGACTTAGTTTATGCTGAAGGTAAAAACAAAAGAAGGCAATGTTTCCTTTTTCTTGTTTATCGCAAAAAGACTTATATTGACTCGTTGAACAAGTAAAGATGGTTTCTCAAAAATCTTACCTCCAGTTCTGGTGTTGTCTAGTGATTTGGGAACAAGGTAATAATACATTTGATTTGATTTGCAAATGGACAAAGCGCTGGGAGATCTTAAGTCAGAGTGGCAGGGCTTTGTTCCTTCTCTAACACATCCAGGGACATGCATGTTCTCTAAGTTACTTTCTTCCATATCATGCATTTCTTCATAGTTTGGTTTCTTCTTTGAGCTAGAGGGACTCCCTATCAGGCCTATGCTAAGGCTGTTGACCTTAGATGCTGAGATATTATATGTCTCTTGATATGCAATGTCTGGCATGATCAGTTTAAGATCATTCAAATCAGCAGGTCCACTAAAACTTCTGCATTCACTGACCTCAATTGAATCGAGTACTTGACCTTGTGTTCCATTCAGAGTTATTGCATCAATATTGTAGGCTGGACATGCAGAATATGACTTCTCATAAGTGATAAAGTGCTTCAAAACTGCATGAGACACATTAACTTCTTCTAACTCGGAGCTCAAATGATTCTCCATATCAACTGATTTTGCATTTCTATGCTTTGTGTTTCTTGTTCTCAACTCCTTTCCTTGGACCTTTCCATCATGTAAATCTGCCACAATTCTGCCCCTGACCCTTGCTTTATTCTCTGGAATTGGTATCGCAAGAATTCTTTTGTTCTTATGAGTGGAACTGTTTATATTTGATGCACATTTGTGCAGTTGAAGCCAATTATCAACCTTTGAGTGGTTTTGGGTTGATACTCTTTGCATTGTATTTGCATGGTTCTTTTTGCTGAGTCTCAAATTAAACTTTTTGTGTATTGAATCTCTTTCTGATAGATGTTGTTTTGTAAAAACTGCCACCTTAGTGTCACTATCAGATGTTTCTTCGCTGAATTCTGTCTCATTATCCGCGCTGAATTTCGTAGTTGGACTGATAAGGCAGCTAGTTCTGGAAACACTGCTCTCTGAGTAGCATTCTGATGTTCCTTCTATAGGGAAACCCACAGACTTGGCACAGTGAGTGGATCCTTTCCCTTTTCTAGGAGGAAGCGAGGATCTACTTTTTAAGGCTTGGGATTCTACTCCAGCATTTCCTGATTTACTTCGGCTACAAACAGTAGGCCTCATGAATCTGGGGAAGTCTGCTAAAGGGGTAGATGTGACACTATCTTTTTGAAATCTCATGTTAGACCCTAACCCTTCAATGCATACATCTGAGAGATCCACTAGTTCAGTTAAAGAGGGTGGCGATATTATTGTAAGCTTTCCTAGTTTCTCATTCAGCTTCTTGATTTCCTGTGTGACACCATTGCGGTTGTACTCAATTCGGTTCATCTTCTGCAGCAGATTATTTATTGCAACTTCCTTTTCTGCCTTGACTTCCTGTAATTGAACATGTCATTGTAAAAATAGAGAAGCAGTGATGGGAGAGCAGGAAGTGTTTGCATCTGGATTCCGAGGTAAGACAGCCAATTCCTTATCTTTTGGATGAACAAGCCGTTAAATGTTAATTATGTCTTCATAATGGCATATCATATATAAAGAGTTAATCCTTTATGTATATCAGGAAATTCCTCTTGTGTTCGTGTCATGAGCGTGTATATTTTTCTACTTTCCTGCTTGAAGCTTAGAACATTATTATGGCAAAAAAATAAAAAAAATAAAAAATTTCTTAACTGAATTGTTGTTGTATAATCACTATTTTTTATTTTTTTTATTTTTTTTGAGAATGGCAACATATTATTCATTAGCACAAAGAGTGTTAAATTATGTCTAGTTTTAATCATCTCCCTATTTCTCCGTAAAAGGCTTTGTCTTAATAACTTCAACTTGTTAGGACCATATGCATGCCGAATGGTTTTTCCTCGTATGTTTATGCAACACTTTTGAATCATGTAGGTCCGTCCAATCTAGAAGTTGAGGCTATTAGTGAGACTGCAACTTAACTTTCATACAAGTTAAATACCAAGTCAAAAGCGCCTTCAGTTCAACTTTAACTTCAGTATCTCTCATTTCAACTAACATTAGCTCCTAACCATCTGTTTCCTAATGGACTGTTCAATTCCTGTCAAATTTATCATCTCACCTTACTCAAATGTTCTATAGGCCTTAAGGTCTTAGAAAAATAACTTAGCCCAGAAAAAAGGGGTGTACTGAAAACATAAAATGATCAAATAAGCATCTTCCCTGTGTAGCAGTTTCAGTATTAGATCAGGTGGAGCCAAATGTACTCACAGTATGCATATGGATTATGAAGATGTTAGTCTACTCATTTCCGTGGTTGAAATTTGAATCAATAAAAGATCTTATTTGTATTGATGACTCCATGCCATTAATAATGGCCTATATTTCACATTCCTACTAAGTTTGTTTGTGGTTGTGATTTCAGCAAGTAGTTTTGTATTGAAGTTGATGTACACCATATTGGATTTTTCCAGTACTGTTGGACAATCAGGACAACATATTGAACTAGTTATAACCAATCAATTACATGACAAGAAATGAAAAGAGATATGTTGTGTGTCATTCTCAAAAAAAAAAGATATATGTTGTATGTCATAATAATGTAAGTAGTTGCATGATTTCCAGTACTAGGCTCAGTTGATTGTTTCAGTGACTTACTGTTGATTCTTCATTTCTTAATTGAACCAGTTTGGCTCGTGTTGCAAAATTTAATGTACACAATGTCTCGCACAAATCTTCTT